GCACCAAGACAAATTCCTTGGTGCATAAATTCCAATAAAGAATTCTATTCTATTCTATTCTATTCTATTCTATTCTATTCTATTCTATTCTATTCTATTCTATTCTATTCTATTCTATTCCTATCCTATCCTATCCTATCCTACCCTACCCTACCCTACCCTACCCTACCCTACCCTACCCTACCTACCCTACCCTACCCTACCCTACCCTACCCTACCCTACCCTACCCTACCCTACCTACTCTACTCTACTCTACTCTACTCTACTCTACTCTACTCTACTCTACTCTATTTTATCCTATCCTATCCTATCCTATCCTATCCTATCCTATCCTATCCTATCCTATTCTCTCTTTTTCTAGAGTCTCAACATCTTTTTTATAAAATGCGACCAAAACTGGATGCAGTATTCCAAATGTGGTCTTACCAAGACATTATAAAGCGGTACTAACCCTTCTTGAGCCTAACAAATTTTGGACAGGGACTAATATTGAAAGGATGAGCAAAAGGTCCAATTTACTATTTATTTTATTCCAGGAATAACTGCTGGGTTAAACATATTTTAGTTTGCAGATTGTGGAAGAAGCTTGGTGTGTCCCTGCTGCTTGTCTGGGAAGGTTCTTTAGGTACTCAATTATCTCATTGTTTATACAGCAAAAAATGGAAAATTTATTCAGCTCCAAGTGGACCACCAGTACAATATTAGCAAGAAAGTTCAGTTGGCTGTCTATGGGGAGGTCATATGTTTTGGAAAGTTGTATAGAGAAAGACATATATTAGGAGAGTTGTTTGAATTAGTTTAAGTGCATAATCAGGTGGTTCCTTAAAAGCAAGACAGAGATCCAAGAAATGTGAAAGCATAAGTAACATTTATGTTGAAAATATGGGTGAACGATATACTAAAACTTTCATTGGAAAATGCATAGAACCTGGGCATCTTAGAGATAGCTACCAAGGATGAAAAAGATTAAGGTTTTCTAGCAGGTCTTATTTTCAAGAAATACTTTAAAAAACCACAACACTCAGTAGCTTGGATGAGCAGGGAAATCACAACATTCTTATTTTGACCTGTCACTGGAATAGATATTTTTTTCCAACTAATTCCAGACATGTTTGTTTAGCTTTAATTTTTCATTGAATGTTTAATCTCCCCTTATTCATGTTGGACTGCTGGAGCCTTAACTCTAACTCTTACCTATGCTGGTAAGTTCTGATATTGGCCCTTGTCGATTCACGTGCCTTTCCTCCTTTTGTTTGTTGCAAGCGGAGGTGGAAACTTTCAAGACACAAATATTTAAGTGGGTAAAAGGAAGCTGTGCACCTTATGTGAAATGTATACCTCTGAGAACGTGAAGGCCAGCATCAAAGTGCACAACAGTTTTGCCCATTAGGTGTGAGATATAGCAAGTCACACAAGAGGGGAACAGCCTTAGAGGTATTAAGAGCCTGACAGTTTTATTACAGGTTATGGATTGTGCTATTCTATTCTATTCTATTCTATTCTATTCTATTCTATTCTATTCTTTCTCTTCTCCTCTTCTCTTCTATTTTCTCTTCTCTTCTCTTCTCCTCTCCTCTCCTCTCTCTCCTCCCCTCTTATTCTCTCCTCTCCTCTCCTCCTCTCTCCTCCCCTTATTCTATTCTATTCTATTCTATTCTATTCTATTCTATTCTATTCTATTCTTTCTCTTTTCTCTTTTCTCTTCTCCTCTCCTCTTCTATCTCCTCTCCTCTCTCTCCTCCCCTCTTATTCTCTCCTCTCCTCCTCTCCTCTCCTCCCCTCTCCTCCCCTTATTCTATTCTATTCTATTCTATTCTATTCTATTCTATTCTATTCTATTCTATTCTATTCTATTCTATTCTATTCTATTCTATTCTATTCTATTCTATTCTATTCTATTCTACCCCCCTCTTTTCCCCTTCCCCTTCCTCTCCCCCTTCCCCGGATCCCTTTTTGAAGTTTGAAAGTTTTTTTTTGTTCTGGGAACGTTTGAAGGCGGCGGACGGAAGGGAAAACCACCAGACCCAAGCGGAGAAAGTTTCTGCAAGAGGGGAGGGGGACACTCATCCAGAACAGTCTTCCGTTTCAGCCCAAAGCAATTTGAGCTGGCCGAGAAGCTGAGCCTTGAAATTGGTAGGTTCCTAAATAGGAATTGGGGAAGGGGGGGGGAAGAGAGCCTGAGGTCCCCTCCCTGGGTTAGACTAGCTGAGCAGAATTTGGAACCAAGCATGAAATTGCCCTGAAAAAAAATGCCCCCCCCCAAAACCGCCTCCCCATCCCCATCGGACAGGATGAACCTAATTCTCAAAATAGCAGCTGGCAACGTGCCGGACTCAAGTGGTTCCGGCAAAGAAATAAAATAAAATAAAATAAAAAGAGTGGGTGCGTGGGTGGGAGAGGGAGGGAGGGAGGGAGCAGCCCTCAAAAGCACAATTATCCCTGTCTCTTCTCGGCTGAATTTACTCAACCCCAAGGGAAGGAGGAGTTGTTACTCCACGGTTGAAATGAATTCTGTCCTTGAGCGCTGAAGACCTCAGGTCTGCTGGGGTCAAGTGTAGAGCTCTTGGGAAATTGTAGGGCCTCCACCTGAACCAAGAGGTTGAACAGATGATTAACAGAGTTGGAAGGGACCTTGGAGGTCATCTAGCCCAACCCCCTGCCCAAGCAGGAGACCCTAGACCATTTCTGACAAATGGCAGTCCAGTCTCTTCTTGAAAGCTTCCAGTGATGGAGCTCCCACAACTTCTGAAGGCAACTTCTGTTCCATGGGTTGATAGTTGTCACTGTCAGAAAATTCCTCCTTATTTCCAGGTTGAATCTCTCCTTGGTCAGTTTCCATCCATTATTCCTTGTGTGACCTTGGGTGCTTTGGAGAATAGCTTGACTCCCTCCTCTCTGTGGCAGCCCCTCAAATATTGGAATTTGGAAGACTCCTCCTGTCTCCCCTGGTCCTTCTCTTCACTAGACTAGCCATGCCCGGTTCCTGCAACTGTTCATCGTATGTTTTAGCCTCCACTCCCCTAATCATATTTGCTTTTCTCTGTGCTCTTTCTAGACAACTTTTCCCAACATCTTTTTTATAGTGTGGTGACCAAAACTGGATGCAGGACTCTAGGTGTGGTCTTACTCAGGCTTTATAGAGTGGTATTAGTACCTCCCTTGATTTTGATTGTATCCCTCTGTTAATGTAATTTAAGATTTAATTGGTTGTTTAGATCCAGGCTAACAACTGACAAATAACAACTGACCTTGGCAACTTTAAGATCTGTGGACTTCAACTCCCAGAATTCCCCAGTGACCCAAGCATAGCTGTCTTCCTATTCGACTCTCAGAATTTCCCAGCCAAGCTGGCTGGGGAATTCTGGGAGCTGAAGTCCACAAGTCTTAAAGTTGCCATGTTTGTACACTCCTGGCTTAGGTGGAGCCTGGGGAGTTAGTTTCAATGCCTGGGGTATGTCAACTTTCGATCAAGATCACTGAATAATTGCAAATATCCCAGATGAGTTTGCTGGTGACGGCAAGGTTCAAATATTTAATTATTTGCCACTGAAAGGAGCACGCGCCATTTCCCTCCCCACCCGCATTTGACTAAGTGATACCTTCTTAGAGAGATGGGTCTTCTTCAAAGAGGATCTACAATATGTTCTACTACATTTAAATACTGTACTGTTCCACAAGCTTAGTAAAAAGCAGAGACATCACCTTGCCAACAAAAGTGCGTATAGTCAAGGCTACAGTTTTCCCAGTTGCAATGGATGGCTGTGAAAGTTGGACCATAAGGAAGGCCGAGCGCCAAAGAATGGAGGCCTTTGAACTCTGGTGCTGGAGAAGACTCCTGCGAGTCCCTTGGACTGCAAGGCGATCCAACCGGTCAGTCCTAAAGGAGATCAACCCCGACTGCTCTTTAGAAGGCCAGATCCTGAAGAGGAAACTCAAATACTTTGGGAGAAGGAAGGACTCCCTGGAAGGAAGAGCCTAATGCTGGGAACGATGGAGGGCAAAAGAAGAAGGGGACGGCAGAGAACAAAGTGGTTGGATGGAGTCACTGAAGCAGTCGGCGTGAGCTTAAATGGACTCCAGAGGATGGTAGAGGACAGGAAGGCCTGGAGGGACGTTGTCCATGGGGTCGCGATGGGTCAGACACAACTTCGCAACTAACAACAACTGTTCCACATCGTGGCTTATCTGCTTTTGGTTTAGTCCTAGTATTTCTCAGACTTAGCAACTCTAAGACGTTGAGTTGAGGTGCACACATCCTAAAATTGCCAAGTTTGAGAAATGATGAGTACCGGGACAAAATGTTTGCGTTGAAATCAGGGGTGGGCTGCTGGGGGTTCTCAGGATTTCAGGAAAACTTCTAGCTAAGATTCTGTGCAGTTCGGAGAACCCGCAAATCCCACTCCTGGCTGGCCCCGCAAAAGAAAGAAAGAAAAAAAGAAAGAAAGAAAGAAAGAAAGAAAGAAAGAAAGAAAGAAAGAAAGAAAGAAAAAGAAAGAAAGAAGGCTGCGGTCCGGCGCTTCCTCCATGCGCGCAACTTGTTGGAAACGCAAAGCGAAGCGAGCCTCTTGCGATGGACGTGATCCGGAGGTTTAGGATTTAGAAGCGCAGACGTCTATGGAGATGCTCAGCCATCTATGTCACGGTTGTCCCAAAGGTGCTTTCTTTTAAAGGACTTTCTGGGGGGTTTCCCCCCCCTTTTGAAGACGTTTCGCTTCTCCTCCAAGAAGCTTCTTCAGTTCTGACTGGACGGTGGGGAATGAAAGGATTTATATTCCTCGCAGACAGCAGGTCATTGGCATCCTTTCAGAGGGTCGTTGCTTCAGATGCCAATGACCAGCTGTCTGCGAGGAATATACACCTTTCCATTCCAGTCAGAGCTGAAGAAGCTTCTTGGAGGAGAAGCGAAACGTCTTCAAAGGAAAACCAGAAAGTCCAGTCGCCTCTTGGGGGTGGGGTGGGGTGGGGGTGGGGAGAAGCACTTTTGGGATTAGAAGCGCAGATGCGCTCCTGGCTTCGACTGCTCAGTCTAACCCGGGGCTCCGGAAAGCTGGAGTGGGTGGGGTAGGCGGGGGAGGATCTGGCCCATCCTGCAGCCGGGGAGGACTGCAACAGCCGCCCCTCCACTTGCTAAGGCGGAGCGGCGAGGCGGCGCTTTGGTTGGCGGAGACGATGGAGGGAGCGGCTAGCTTTCCACGCTGCGCTCGTTTTGGCCGGGTTTGAAGCCACTCCGAATCATGCCACGCGTGGAACCGCCGCGCCCGCCGAGCGGCGAAGGGTCTGGTCCGGATTTGCCTTTCGCCGGAGCCTCCTTTCCTCCGAGGGTCTCCTTCTCCTGAACCGGTGAGTGGTCCGAGTGGACCCCCGAGGTGGGTCGCAGGGGGAACGAACGAATCTGCCAGGTTGTGTGAAAAGGGGAAAAAAATAAAAAAATGGCCATTTGGGTGAGACACGGGTGTGTGTGCGCGTGTTAACTCTGAAAGGCGTCTTGCATTCGGCCGTCCTTCGCCGTGGAGTTCATTCCCACGTGTGCAATCTCTGTGCCCCGGGTCGGGTTGCCGAGCCTCGCTTGCACGCGCGTTTAATCTCATCGGAATAAAGCTGGAAGGGAACCGCGAGGTCTTCTAGTCCAGCCTCCGGCTCAAACAGGAGAACCTAGACCGTTTCAGACAAGTGACTTGTCCAGTCGCTTCTTAAAAACCTGGAGCGCCCACAACTTCTGGTGGCCAGCTGTTCCACTGGCTGATTGTCCTTGCTTGTTAGGAAGTTTTTTTTTTAAATTTGATTTATATGCCGCCCTTCTCCGGAGACTCAGGGCGGCTTACAATGCGTTAAGCAATAGCCTTCATACTTTTGTATATTTTTATACAAAGTCAACTTATTGCCCCCACAAACCGGGTCCTCATTTTATCCACCTTAGAAAGGATGGAAGGCTGAGTCGACCTTGAGCCTGGGGAGAATTGAACTTGCAGTAATTGCAGGCAGCTGGATGTTAAATACTGATGTTAACAATGCCTTAAGCAATAGCCTTCATCCTTTTGTATATTTATACAAAGTCAGCTTATTGCCCCCACAAACTGGGTCCTCAATTGACCTACCTTAGAAAGGATGGAAGGCTGAGTCAACCTTGAGCCTGGCGAGATTCGAATTTACTTTAATTGCAGACAGCTGGTGTTAAATGACAGTGCCTTTGTCTGCAGAGCTATCCAGGCTCAAGTTTCTCCTGAATTCCAGGTTGCTTCTCTCCTTGATTAGTTTCCATCCATGGGTTTCATACATTGAAGTCCATTGATTCCATTCATTGTCTTTATCCACCCCAAGCATCTTGAAGCTGGCGGGACTTTGGTTCATGTCCCCCAAAATATTCTCACCTCTGCTTTGGAATTGTGTGTGTGTGTCTGTGCTTAATTTTATTTCCAGGATGGGAAAGGCAAGGGATGGGTATGCCTGGATGATGTGATACGTTGTTCGTTGTAATTCAGCTCCACTTTTGGGGTCTTTGGTTCCCGTGAGACTTACTTACTTACTTACTTACTTACTTACTTACTTACTTATTAATTAATTAGTTCGATTTATATGCCGCCCTTCTCCGGAGACTCAGGGCGGCTTACAATGCATTAAGCAATAGCCTTCGTACTTTTGTATATACCTGCTTAGTAGGGCTTTTGGCCCCCCCAAGCAGTGTTTTTTAAAAAAAATTTATTTTTTTATTTATTTTTATTTTTATTTATTTTTATATGCCGCCCTTCTCTGGAGACTCAGGGTGGCTTACAATGCGTTAGCAATAGCCTTCATGCTTTTGTATATTTTATACAAAGTCAGCTTAATTGCCCCCACAAACTGGGTCCTCATTTTACCTACCTCGGAAGGATGGAAGGCTGAGTCAACCTTGAGCCTGGTGAGAATTGAACTCGCAGTAATTGCAGGCAGCTGGCAGCTAAGTGCTACTTTAACAGCAGTTTAGTCCGCTGCGCCACCAAGGCTCCTCAGCAACCGTCAGTCCCAGCCAGATTGGTTTCCACAAAAAAAGAATGCCGAGGTTCTAGAAAGAGTGCAGAGAAGACCAACTAAGCCTGGTGGCTCAGCAGACTAAAAGCATTGTGATTAACACCAGCTGTCTGCAATTACTGTCAGTTTGAATCTTGCCAGGCTCAAGGTTGACTCAGCCTTCCATCCTTTCTAAGGGTGGGTAAATTGAGGACCCAGTTGTGGGGGCAATAAGCTGACTTTGTATAAATATACAAAAGGATGAAGGCTATTGCTTAACGCATTGTAAGCCGCCCTGAGTCTCCGGAGAAGGGCAGCATATAAATCAAATTAAAAAAAAAAACTAAGAGGGTAAAGGGTTCTGGATGAAAGATTCATATTGATGAATGGTTGAGGCAACTAGGTATGTCTAGCCGGTTGAAGAGAAGGTGACATGATAGCATCTTCCAATACTTTGGAACGGTTGTCCCAGGGAAGTCCACTTATTCTCCAAAGCAGCTGAAGGCAGGACAAGAAACGATGGATGGAAGCTCCTCAGAGGGACATCCAATTTGAAAATAAGGAGGAATTTCCTGACCGTGAGAACCATTCATCAGTGGAACAGCTTGCCACTAGAAGTTGTGGGCGCTCTATCACTGGAGGTTTTCAAGGAAAGATTGGACAACCAATTGTCCAGGATGGTATGAGGATTCCTGCTTTGGGCAAGAGGTTGTACTATTAGAAGACCTTCAAGGTCTCTTCCAGCCCTGTGATTCTATGTATAGTATAGATTAGATTAGATTAGCATTCTTTATTGGCCAAGTGTGTGATTGGACGCACAAGGAATTTGTCTTTGGTGCATAAGCTCTCGGTGTACATAAAAAGAAAAGATACATTTGTCAAAAATCATAAGGTACAACTTAATGATAGTCATAGGGAACAAATAAGCAATCAAATCATATTAGGAATTATATTGATACAGTCAATATAAATCTTAAGGATACCAGCAACAAGGTTACAGTCATACAGTCATAAGTGGGAGGAGATGGGTGATGGGAATGATGAGAAGATTAATATGTTAAAATTTTAATATTGATTTTAAATTGACAAGTTTTAAATTACGGGCCAAATTTATAAATTATTTTAACTCTATTTTTAACTGTAATGTTATGTATAGATGTTTTTATTTTGGCTGTTCACCGCCCTGAGTCCGAAAGGAGAAGGGCGGTATAGAAATTTGAATAATAAATAAATAAATAAATAAATAAATAAATAATAGTAATGCAGCCTTAGTGAATAATTTGACAGTGTTGTGGGAAATATTTATTTAGCAGAGTGATGCTGTTCGGAAAAAAACTGTCCTTGTGTCTAGTTGTTCTGGTGTGCAGTGCTCTATAGCGTCGTTTTAAGGGTAGGAGTTGAAACAGTTTATGTCCAGGATGCGAGGGGTCTGTAAATATTTTCAAAGCCTTCTTTTTTTGTTTTTTTTTAAATTTGATTTATATGCCGCCCTTCTCTGGAGACTCAGGGTGGCTTACAATGTGTTAAGCAATAGCCTTCATACTTTTGTATATTTATACAAAGTCAGCTTATTGCCCCCACAAACTGGGTCCTCATTTTACCTACCTTAGAAAGGATGGAAGGCTGAGTCAACCTTGAGCCTGGGGAGATTCGAACTAGCAGTAATTGCAGGCAGCTGAATGATAATAACAGGCTATTAGTCTGCTGCGCCACCAGGCTCTTCCCTTTTGACTCGTGCAGTATACAGGTCCTCAATGGAAGGCAGGTTGGCAGCCATGGTTTTTTTCTGCAGTTCTAGTTCTGCAGTTTTTCTGCCTTTATTGTCATTGTACATCTTATACACAACGAAATTGGTTATGTTTTAAGCTCAGGTTTCAAACGTTTTCTAGTTTAATCCACCGATTTAGCAAAGGAGCAGATCCAATGGTAGGTGTCTATGGGAGATTCTCAGTCATCCAGGTCATGGTTGCCCCAAAGTAATGGTGAAATTAAATTTTTTCTACTACCGGTTCTGTGGGAGTGGCTTGGTGGGCGTGGTGTGACTTGGTAGGCGTGGCGGGGGAAGGATACTGCAAAATCCCCAGGTCACTAGTCGAGGCGTCTCCAGAGCCTCAGGGAGTGGCCCAAGGTCCATCTGGAGCCTATCAGGTTCCATCAGGCGCCTGGGGCGGGACCATCTTACCGGCTCCGCCTCCCTGCGGTGGGTGCAGCAGTTCAAAGGTCAAGGCGAAGGAGAGAGTGATCCGACCATGACAAGGACTCGGTAACTATATCCCCTAACTATATAACTATATCTCAAGATCACTCAACCACTGTCCAGAGACAAAAACCAGGTCCAGCGGGTTTCCCTCCGTGTGGGTAGGGCCATGAATTAGCTGGGTCAGGTCCATAGCTGTCATGGAAGCCATGAACTCCCAAGCCACCTCCGACATCTCACCCACGGACGGCAGGTTGAAATCCCCTATGACCATAAGCCTGGGGGTGTAAACCGCCACCGCGGCGATAACGTTGAGTAGCTCGGGAGGGCTGCTGCCACGTGGCAGGGAGCCAGGTACGTGATCAGCAAACCCATCTGAACCCCATGACCCCACTTCACAAGGAGGGACTCACAGCCGGCCGTCTGAGGAACAGTGGCCTCCCTCGGTCTCAGACCTTCTTTAATGATAACCGCTACTCCCCCGCCCCGCCTTGTGACCTCAGCCGATGGAATGCATGGAAACCTGGTGGGCACATTTCAACGAGGGGAAACCCCCCCTCCTGGCCCAGCCAGGTCTCCGTAACACCTGCCAGGTCCGCTCCCCCCTCACGAACAAGATCACAAATGAGTTGGGGGGGGGTCTGGGATGCTACCCATCCTCTTCACGACCTGTTTTCCTTGTTACCTACTGGGAGGATATATGTTTTCTCAGGTTTTCGCGGGTGTTTGTATGTAGGTCTTTGGTTATTCGGGTCTTCTCCCACGTAAAATTGGAAGTGTCTTGGCGACGTTTCGACGAAGTCTCATTCGTCATCTTCAGGCTGGTGTTCTCGGCTTCGTGCTTCCAGGAGGCACCTTCCAATTTTACGTGGGAGAAGACCCGAATAACCAAAGACCTACATATATATATATATATATATATATATATATATATATATATATATATATATGTGTGTGTGTGTGTGTGTGTGTGTGTGTGTATACATACATACATATATACATACACACACACACACACACACACATACATACATATATACATATATATATGTGCAAAATGACTACTGGCATAAGCCTGATGATGGCAGATGGGATTCTGCCGAAACGTCGCCTCTACCCTTTTAGGGATATATCCACAATTACACGGGAAGAAACCCGA